CCCCTCCCCTTCCCCTCCCTTCCCTCGCGCACGCTCATATCTCCTGCCAGGCACGATCATGGTCAAGGATTTCGGGACTTGCTACCGTTTCTGCTACACGAGCTTGGATCGTGCGGTGCAGCGGTCGTGGCCAGATGAGTGCACGGTCAAGAACTCGCGGCACTTGCGGCTGACGGTGTTCACGCCGCGCGCGACCGACCGCGTCATTGACTTCCAGAACAAACTGTTCCGCGACATCACGAAACCTGGCGACTGTGCTTGGGTGCGCAAGCACATCTCGGCCAGCAGCAGCTGAGAGGAGTACCGTCAGTTTTCTTACTTCACGCCTGGTGGTGGTGGGGGACTTGCCTTGCCTTGTGATCCAAGAAATGGGGGTGGGTGGGGATGAGTGAGTGAGTATTGGCAGGAAATACAAACATTAGGCAACGAGACGTCCTTTTGACAAATGCGATGCAAGCCTAAGTGCCGAAACTTGAGTGAGCTATTGGATGGCGTCGAACAGGGCACCCGCCCAGCTCATTATGTGACTTTTTGCGGATCTAAGGTACGCGGGGGCATTTCCGAATCTAGGCAGGGGTAAAGGGGACAGAGGTAGGTTGGAATTTTCCACTCATTTCACTTGCCGTGGAAGCGTTTGAGCGACGTAGGATCATACACTAACAACGGTTGCAAAGGGTCGCCGTAGTCAATGGTTATAAATTATTTATGATTATATTACCAAAAGTTTCGACCTTGTCGGTTCCAGGTCGTCTAATGGTCAGGACAGTCTTATCTCAGGACTGGTCGGGGTTCAATTCCTCGCCTGGGCGCCATGCTTTTTGATTTGGCTCACCCTCTCCCAGCTTTTTTACAGACAGACTCACCCATACTTTCATGTTGGAGAAAAAAGGGTTGAAGAGGAATCCGAGCGCGTATTATTTTTCCTTCCGAGTGTGTTGGTTCAGGTGAATCGACTAAATTCTTTATTCCACCACATTATTATAAATTTGGTTCCAGGTCGTCTAATGGTCAGGATAATCTGCTATAGCCGGATTGGTCGGGGTTCAATTCCCCGCCTGGACACAAATTTTTTTCTCGCCAGCCAGTCCAACACATGCTTACCTAGATTGGAAAAAGGGAAGGTTTAGGTCCAGTTATGTTTTTTTTTCTTCTTTGGTTTATTCTTCCGGGTAGGGCGAGTGTTGCACACTTGCAGAATTTCCAAACGAGGTCCACGACGCCAGGCATCACTATCACGCGAACTTCCTGGGCGTACCATCGGGTTGTCAACTACTCGGGCGACACCCAGCCGCTATGGCCTCCCCAGCCCCCCTCAGTTTCGGCGTGCGCCTGCGATCACCCGACACCGACAGTACGAAGGCACTAGTACTACGCGACGTCGGCGAAGCCTAAATCCGCTGAGCCGTCCGCTCGAGCCAGTTGGTGTCCGGGGGGCCTCGCAGTTAATAGCTGATTGATGTCCAGGTTTGAGGCGCGGGGTGCGGACGGTTATTAACGGGTGTTCATGATGGTTCTTATTCAGTCGCAACTGTCGAGCGAAGGTGGCAGTGGTGGTGGGGGACGTGGTAGGCCGTATTTTGGCATAGTGGGTGGGGTGTGTGGTCATAGTTACAAGAGATACAGTACAGTCTGGGAGGTTTGGGGGAGGGGCCTTGCTTGAACGCCAAGAGGTGGAAGGAAGGCGCCGCCAGAGGAGGAGGAGGAGGAAGGTGGCTTGGAGGCCAATACAAGGCTCTCGCCAATATTTTTTCTCGTGGGTGAGGAGGGAGGATTGCAGTGGTGGGTTACAGGACATTCACATAGTGGGCGAGAGGCGGGCGACCGCGTTCCAAGATGTAAGGGAGGGAGGGTGGAAGGTGAATACATGGAAGAAAAAGTGGGGAAAGTATGGTGACAAAAGGGGGGAAAAAACCCCCGGGGGGGAGGGAAACGAGCCAAGAACGAGGCGCCGTCCCTCGAAAGGCATTTCCTCAGATCAGATCAGATCAGATCTTGAAGGAACCGTTGACGCGCAGGTCCTTGCTGCTGGCGCCGACGGCGACGGTGTAGGAGCCGGGCGCGACCTTGTACTTGCCGTCCCAGTACGACAGCTCGTCGAAGCCGAGGTCAAACTTGACCGTGGCCGACTTGCCGGCGGAGACGAAGACGCGCTCGAAGCCGCGCAGCTGGCGGACCGGCTGGGCCGCGACGGACGGGAAGCCGAGGTAGAGCTGGGGGACTTCGTGGCCGTCGACGCTGCCCGTGTTCTTCACGGTCACGGTGACGGTGACGGTGGTGTCGGCAGACGAGTGGCCCGAGTGCACCTTGGCCGAGAGGCCAGAGTAGGCGAAGGTGGTGTAGGACAGACCGTGGCCAAAGGCGAAGAGAGGGTCAATGTTGTTCTTGTCGAAGTAGCGGTAGTCGATGTAGTTGCCGAGGGCCTTGTAGTCGGTGTGCGAGTAGTTGGTCGCCTGCACGGACCACTCGTTGCCGTCGTCGGAGCAGTAGTTGGTGACGGTGGCCAGGACAGGGTAGTCTGAGACCTTCTTGGCGATGGTGTAAGGCAGGCGGCCGGACGGGTTGAGGTCGCCAAAAACGACGTCGGCAAGCCCGGAGCCGGACTCCTGGCCGGGGAAGTGGTGGTGCAGGACGGCCGAGACGGAGTCGACCCACGGCATGTCAAAGGCGCCCGGGCCGTTCAGGACGACGACGGTCTTCTTGTTGGCGCCCGCGACGGCGTTGACGAGTGCGTCGCCTTCGAACCAGGTGGACAGGTTGCGGCGGTCGCCCGGGTTGCCGTTGAGCTCCTGACCCGAGGCGCCGGGGCAAACGCTGGGGCCGGAGGCATCGTAGTTGATGTACTGCTCGCCAGAGCTGGCACCGACAAACACGAAGGCGATGTCGGCAGCGGCAGCGACCTTCTTGGCGTTGTCAAGGTCGTAGTTGTTCAGGCTGTAGGTGATCGAGTACTTGTCCTTCTTGGCCTTGTCCTGGAAAGCGTGCAGCGGCGTGACCAGGTACGGGAAGTAGGTGGTGCCCGAGCCCCAGCCCTGGGCGATGTTGCCGTAGATGCCGTCCTTGGTGTAGAGCGAGCCGTGGTCGCCGTGGCCGCCGTCGCCCGAGTTGTCGTACAGGTCGAGGTAGCCCCAGCCGCTTCCAAAGTTGAAGTTGTCGATGAAGGCCTGGACGTTCTTGTCCTCGGGGCCGGCGCCGAAGCCGATCAGGGCGACCTTCTTGTACTTCTTCGGGGTGACGGGTAGGACAGACTTGTCGTTCTTGAGCAGGACAACGGAGGCGGCAGACACCTCGCGGATGGTATCGGCGTGGTCGCCCTGAACGTTGACGTCGCCGTCGATGGTGTGGTTCCAGACGTTGATGTTGGTCGGGACGTAGTGCTTGTCCTGGCCCAGCTTGTAGAATGACGAGAGGACGCGGATGGCCATGGCGTCGACCTTGGACTCGGAGATAGAGCCAGACTTGACGGCCGAGATGAGCGTGTTGCCGTACCAGCTGTACGTGTTGTTGTTGATGTCAACACCACCAGCCATCTGCATGTCAAGGCCGGCAGCGGCAGCCGGCAACGTGCTGTGGCCACCCCACCAGTCTAGATACATGACTAAGTTAGTGGACACTCCTTCACCAACCTCTCTCCCGTAATAACTGCAACCCCCCCCCCCCAATGCACTGATTTCACGCTACCCACCAGTCATGACGTAGCCCTTGAAGCCGAGCTCGTTCTTGAGGATGCCAAGCGTGTAGTTGCTCTCGCTCGCAAACACGTCATTGATGCGGTTGTAAGAGGCCATGACGGCGGTGACGCCGGCGTCGACGGCAGCCTTGAAGGGGCGCAGGTACAGCTCATGCAGGGTCTTGTCGTCAATGTCAATAGAGCGCGACTTGCGGTACCACTCGTCGTCGTTAAGGATGTAGTGCTTGACGGTGGTCTGGACGCCCTTGGACTGCACACCGTCGACGTTGGCGGCGACGCTCTCAGACTGCAGGTACGGGTCGGCACCGAAACCCTCCCAACCACGGCCGCCGTTCGGGGTGCGCATGAAGTTAACGCAAGGCTGCAGGGCCACATGGACACCCTTGCCGAGGTACTCCTCACCCATATCCTCACCACGGCGGTGCATCAGATCGCGGTCGAAGGTGGCTGCGGTGTTGATCGCGGAGGAGAAGGCGCTGACGCCGATGGCGTCGCGGACGCCTGTGGGCGAGTCTTGCAGGCAGATGCCGGGGAAATTGATTGAGGCGATCTTATCAATATTGCCGACACAGACGGCCTGGCCGCCCGTCCAACCGACCGACAGGTTGAACTGGCCGGCGGCGTGGTTGTTGGCGAAGGCCGGGTTGCCGTTATAGCCGGCCCAGCCCCAGCCGAGGCCGGTGGTGAGGACGACCTTGTCGTGGAGGCTGAGCTTTGCGACGTCGGACTTGGCCTTAGCGACGGCCTGGTCCCAGGTGCGGTAGTTTTGGTAGTTTGTACCGGAGTGCGAGCCGCCGTCGGTGCCGCCGGGGACGGGTGAGCCACCAGCCGCGGCGGCGGCGGCCAGGATTAGCGCAGCGAGCGCCGCTGGGGCGTGCATCGCGTCAAGGACTTGGAGGTAGGTAACGAGGGATCGAGAGGCGGGATTAGGGTGGTTCGGGGGGGAAGAGAGAAGGCGACGAGGTGCGAGAAAGTCGACTGATGAGGCAGAGAGTTGTCGCTCGGAAGACGATGCCGGTTGTGCGGGCGGCGCGTGGCTTTTAAAGTCTGCAGAGTAAGTCCGGGGCTGGGTGGGCG